TCTTAACATACTTCGCCGAAGTTTTTCATAAGCATCTTTTTTCGCAAAATTTCTTTACGCGCCTTTTTTCGCCNTGGGGAAAGAAGACGCATAAAAAAACTTCAGCGTCAAAGACTCTTAACATACTTCGCCGAAGTTTTTCATTAGCATCTTTTTTCGCAAAATTTCTTTACGCGCCTTTTTTCGCCGTCAAAACACTAGCGCGCCTTTATTCGTGTGTAGTGACGGTATGTATTGGGTACCGAATTTTGTTTCTCAAGTGTTGAGTACCGAGTATTATGTATCGACAATAATTGTTCAGCCCATGACTAGTATTAAATAGGATTAGTCGCTAATAGAGGGTGCAAGCAAACAAAATCATACACATGCATATACTCGTATTTATATACACAGTGTTTCTGCTAGTTATGCGAGCACGTCTTTTGTAAATGGGTTACCTGGCGACAAGCGACAACGCCACCGGAAGCANAGGTACCGAATTTTGAGTACCGAGTATTATGTATCGACAATAATTGTTCAGCCCATGACTAGTATTAAATAGGATTAGTCGCTAATAGAGGGTGCAAGCAAACAAAATCATACACATGCATATACTCGTATTTATATACACAGTGTTTCTGCTAGTTATGCGAGCACATCTTTTGTAAATGGGTTACCTGGCGACAAGCGACAACGCCACCGGAAGCACCTTCATTTTTCTTCCACCCACCAAGTAGTCCAATGCCTCCGATCCTCTGCGCTGCTCCGCGCCACTTTTCTTTTTCTTCTCGATAAATCCGAAATAAAATCCAATTACCGCACAAGCCGCCAACATAAGCACAAATACCAAATAATCTACCAAGCCGAAATGTTGCAAAGATGAGCTGAGTTCCGCTACATTCATGGGATGTGCTGTCGTCGTCGATGGGGCATTGGTTGTGTCGAGTGTCTCTAAAGTAGACTCTAAGCGATCCATTATTCCGGGAAATTTACAACTGGTCCTTTGTTTTGTAGATCGAAAATTCTAATACTATTTGAGTAGCTTTTTAAGTTCAGTTAAGTCGGCACACACTTTTTCGGAGTTTAATGTATCTTAAATGGCATCACTGCATTCAACGTCGAGTATGGCCTTAAATTTAATAGAAACAAGTCTTGCTTAGTGTAGTGAAGTGCGACCAATTCAAGGGAATATTCAAAACTAACTAAGTAGCCGACAGCACAATTAATCGACGAACAGAGATTTCAGTTTGTTGCCTATTTTCTCTAATCTACTTGCATATGTATGTATGTAAATAAGTTCAAAGATATATGTATAAATAAATTCATCTTCATTCATATGAGAAAAATGTAGCACTTATTAATAGGATACATATGTACAAATTCATTGTGATATGAACAAAATGACAACAATGCCATTGTCGAATTCAATAGTGATAAGCGACAAGCTATTCCATTCCACCCACAGCATAGCGACTCTTTAGAGTCGAATGTTTAGACGCTTTATTGCACTGAATGTTTGTCAAAGCAGTTAGTTCTCGGCTGCTGCAACAGATACAGTTTCAGTGGATGCATGCATGACACTTGACTTTCTTATTATTTATTAGAAGGAGCATCACCCGCTACTGGCATTATCTGTATGTACAAATAAGCATATAAAGCTACTCAAATATATTTACTAGGTGGGTAGTAAAAATCGCGACACAGTTTAATAAATGAATGTAAAATGTAGATAAGACTGCAGACTTTAAATCTAATGTAATACAAATAATAAAGATATATGTATACGTAGGTACACTTATAAATTACAAGCCAATGGCGACCACTATTCCACGAACTCGGATTATTTTGCCTGAATCCGTAAGCTTGTAATATTTAATTAAATATTATACCAGAATAAAATGTCACGCGTGCACATGAATTCAAAACAACAATAACACTATGCATTACACAGGTCCCTCAAAACTAGTTAGCAATTTGGGTAGGTGTTAGGTACTAAGCTACCATAAAAAAAAATAATAATAAAGAAAATTCCGACTTGTAAATTTGTACAGCTTTCTACATTTTGGCAATCACAGAGTAATGTTGTCTACAAATTTTGATCGAGAATGAGTTCAGCTCAATAACAACTTTCCAAACAACATCACTCTGAAACTGTGAAAATGTAAAAATCTGAACAAATATACAAATCGTGTGATCCCTGCTTAACGTAAATTTTGCGAAAAAATTTCACTTTTTTTAATTTTTATTAGTGTTACCGAATATTACTAGCGTTAACTTCGAACTTCCATAAGTCTTTCTAATGTATGTACTTAGTGTATTTAGGGGTAATATTAACTAATACTGTTAATTTTTAAGTAAAAAATTTAGTTTTTCAAAATAACAAACTTTTGGGTTTTTTCTCGGGGTGCCACGCCCCCTTTTCTAATAACTACAATTTTTCTTCATGAGTATGCATTTGATTTCATGTGTGTATCTCCATACTATGTTCGAGTACTCTAGCATGAACACTTCCAGAGAAGACGATCTGTTATAATGAAAAGACGAGCACACTCGCGCAGACGAATACTAATACGGGGGCTAATATTAAAGGCGAATTCACTGTACTTGCTCTTAAATATTTGATATTATTTCCTACATACGAAAATATGATTTTGAGAGGAAATAACAAATTCGTTTCGACAACAAATGCAACAAAAACAGAAAGTCGTTCGGACAGAAAATCAAAATCAATTTTATTCGAACAAAGAGAATAGGAGAGTATTCAGCAAAGTGCGAAAAGAACGAGTAAAACTACGAACAAATTACGTCGAAAGAACGGTGAAGCCATCTTATAAGTAATACAAATTTCCGTGGTATGAAGCGAAATAAAAATTAATCGAAGTAATGAAAAATGGCGCTGGGGAAATAATAACTCACAGAAAATACTTATCATGGCATATATTTATTAAGTTTAGCGGTTGTGGCTCCGACACAGCCCACGGGCCAAGACAAAGTCGCTGGACTGATTTTTTTTTTTTCAGGCAGTGGCAAACCTTCGAGTCAGTGGCGGATCCAGCGGTGGGATGGTGGGGGGGTTGTGGTTTGGATGTCAAGCTACGTGTCAGTCAGTGGCGGACCCACGGAAGGTGTTTTAATATGGCGCATATATATTAAAACATCCCCCGTGGGTCCGCCATTGACTGGAACTTAGTTTGGCCCCCAAAACCCCCGCTGGACCCGTCACTGCTCCGAGTGTATCTCTGCCATGAAAGGCTTCTCATAAAACATATTTGCCGTTCGACGTCGGCGTGAAACTGTAGATCACTTTTTATGTTGTTTCGTACCCAAGAGTATGTATGAGCCAGATATAAATTCCTAATTCAGTCAAGTTCTGATGTAGGGCGTTCTTGAAAAGTTTGCTGAGAGATGGCGCCGAGATAGGACGTTCGTCCACTCATTTTGAAATACATACAATATATATTGTCTAAACAAACTTTAACACTTCAATGTTTTTGCACAATCGTATCTGTGCAAATCTTGCAAGCGTTGCGTGTAAAATGAGCAATGACCCATTCACCAAGCGTGGTGCACAACACTTCTGCAACCATTATTCGCTAAAATATGTGCATACTGTTCTATCTGTGTATAAATATGTACATTAAGACGTTGGTAACACGACATATAAAAGAAAAAAGTTTATCGTGTGTCAGTTTTATTTAAACCCTTATGCTAAAACCGCTAAAAACCGCCAAATCGAGTTTTTTGCTATAACTTTCTTATTTGGTATCCGATTTCAAAATCTTTATATCGCCGAAAAGGTCTCGCTCTATAATTAGCCATTAATCAATTTCGGGTTTAAACCCGTTTTGATTTATACCTTTACTAATTTAAAAAAAAAGGGATAGTATTTCCCAAATGAGTGAAAGTATAAATCAAAACGGTTTTTGAACCATAATTTTTTAATGGCAAATTATTTTCCTGAGCGAGGCCTTCTCAGCGCACAGTGCGGCCGAATTCTAAAAATTCGAGAAAACAAAGTTTCTAGATAGGCCTTTTTTGACATTGAGTTGGCTAAAGGAATTACCTAAGAAGCGAAAACTGTTCACTGTAACGACCTGTACCCTAAGTCCTCGCTTTATATTCATTTGTAGTGGGACCTTCTCCGAAGCACAACAATATTTTAATAAAAAGCGAGAAGTTATTAACGTATAAAAGTAGTTAAAGAATAGGAAAGCAAACAAAACCAAATGGATTCCTCGCACGGGCGTAGCCAGGTAGGGGCAGGGGGGGAAATATTTTACGTATGCAGTTTCGTGACGCATTTAATTTAAGTACAACAAAAAAAAATCTCAAAAATCAACGGTAAGTCCTAGCTACTCCAAACTTGCACTTTGTGACACTAAAATTGAGTGGGTTATAAAACTGCGTACTCAAAATATTTCTAGGAATTATAATTAAAAAGCCCGAAATTTACCAGACGCCTTCCTGGATCCGCCATTTCGAATTTTGCAGTTCTGACAGCGGATTCGTAGTTAGCAGCCTCGAAAACCCGCTAGTACGAAATTTCGAATAATTTCTTTAAACTTTCGAATTTTGGCCGCACTTTTGGATATCGGCCGCACTGTGTGGCGGCAAGATTTTGAAAATCGGATATCAAATAAGAAAGTTATAGCAAAAGACGCGATTTAGTGGTTTCTAGCGGGAGGCCAAAAAAAAGATGTGTACACTCAAAATTATTTCTCGAATAAGTATTCAAATAAAACTTACACAGGCTAAACTTTTTTTCGTGATACGCGTTAATGTACAAACATATATGCTATGGTCATATGCATGCGGTCGTAGTTAGTATTAATATACTTATTTAGCGAAATGGCTATGTTAAAATCACAGAGTATGAAGGCGAGTACCCTCCAGCTGCAATTAACTCAATCGAATAGCATGAAAACCGTGTCGAAGTCATCATCATTGAGTGCAGCTAGTTACAAGTTAACTTGTGTCAATTCAGTTGCTGGACGGCAATTCGTCACGCTGGTTATTAGCACGCTTGTCAAATTCAATAAAATAATATTTATAAAATGGGAAATATTATTCGACTGCTTTGGCGCATGTTTTTAATGTCCACCATTTGCATTGGTGCTGAAGTTAAGTCGAACCAAGCGACAGAGAGCCGGGCGCGACCCACCGCCAACGGTTCTCACGCCGTCAAAGAGGCTGCAGATGTGGTGCGGGTGGTATCTGGTACGCAAGTAAAGCGTTTCGAGCGAATGACTGTTCCTTTGGGTGGCCAGGTCATCCAACATCCAATTTATTTCGGTTACAATTTTGCCAGCGTGAGTACTGCTATTGAAAGAAATATTCGAAAAGCCCTTGACTGATCTCTTTGCAGGTTGTGCCGAATTGGCAAGCGTCCGCAAAAATTGTAGGAGATGGCGAGTCCGCTGCCAACGGAGTGATTACATTCCAACAGATACCCTACAATAATGACATCAGGGTGACGATCAACGTAACTGGATTGCCACCAGGCAAGCATGCTGTACACATACACGTTTACGGAGACATCAGCGATGGCTGCAAGTCCACTGGTGGGCAATTTCCCAATAACTTTGTAAGTAACAAACAAGCATGCACATACAAATCTTTAAATCCCTGTAGGGAAAACACGAACTAGTGANGAAATGTGGTACTTTCACTACACTATTCTATTTTAAATTTTAAAAGCAGGGAAGGTAATCATTATGTGTAAAATAATTTAAATCAGCATTTAATCATTATTTTATGAATTATTATTGAGTTTTACTTTTTCGCTCAAACGGAAATAATTATTCTTATTTTTTTCGCGCAGAGATTATCATTAATTTTCAGTTTTATTTTTCCACTTAAAAATAATGATAATTTATAAAATTGAAAAGGCCATAAAGACGCATCCTACTAAAATTTTTACCTGAAAAGTACGCTGGTATAGTTTTTGAGTTGCTTAATAATCATTATACTTAGTGATTCCATAAACAAAGGCCAAGATCCTGAAGGACAATTGAGAAAGGCAATGCAGTTGCAGAAAAAGAGGCATTTAAAAAAAGTGTCAAAATAATTACCACTTTCTCACTAAATTTATTTAAAAATGCAAGCCACCAGAGCTACCTTTTTTTTAAGAAAAGACAAATCAAGTTTTTTTATGCAATCCACCACAGCAACCTTAATACAGTCAGTCAATAAAGTTTAGTAACAACGAATTTTTTACAATACGGGCAACTATTTTTTTAATATTTTAGTTTTCGGTAATTTTTTATAAAAATATGGTCAATTCTACAACAAAATCCCCAAAAATCAGAGTTCCAAACCTTGTGCAAAATTTAAGAAAATTCTGCAAAATTTCATTAAAATAATTCACTTTCTATTTACGCTCTCTAGAAAAAGTTTTTTAGCCTATTAAATTTTAGTATAATGA